AATTGTTATTCGCGGGTTTTGGCCCCAAGAGTAGGGGGGTTTCAGGGGGGCTTGCCCCCCTCACTTAATAGAAATAGGAAGGGGGTTTCAGGGGCGCATGCCCCCCTGAATTTTACCATAATTTAATGTTTTGCAGTTGTTAGGTTTGATATCTTAGCTCACCGCGAATCAAACGTATAGATCTAGATCTAGATATAGGTCAGGCTCAAATTATAAGGGGGGGTGGGAACTACCGAAAAAGCACCTAGATCTAGACCATAGATCTAGAAGAACCTAGGTCTACCCTGAGCCAAGAGGGCGCTGAAACTCTCCGAAATCACAAAAGAGTTCCTTTACCGGGTCTGTATACTTTGTGACTTTGTTCCCGGTTACCGGGTCTGTTTACACTCCCTTATCAAAATGGGAGTGTATACAGACCAAGGAGTTTAGAACTAATGGAGCCTCCTCTCTCTCTTCGCAGCGCCACTAGCAGTACACCGCGGTGGGGATCAAATATGGCCGCCAACTGTGGTCTAAATCATGAACTGTGGTGTTTCTTTTTGTAGAATCTTATCAGGCTGGGCCACGTCGTGGGGGTGAGCGGGGTGGGGGAATGCACGCAACAAGAGGGGGTGGGGCTGGGATGAAAGAGAGGCAGGCCTTGGGAAGGGACAAAGGAGAATGGGAAAAATTAAATAAAAGAGAGACAGACAGACAGAGAGAGAAAGAGATTGTGATCAACTGACGGGCTGACGGATAATGACGTGACATGGAGAAAAAAATAATAAACTCTGTGTGTGATACAGGCTGTTCAATTCTTTAAGAGTTTTATGTTATAGTTTAAAAATCAAGAAGATCTGTAAAATAATGAAGAAAACTTGTCCGAGTAACATAAAATTATCAAACATACCAAATTATAAAGATAATCTTTCAAGATGCTAAAAGATTAAATCTAATTAAGACTAATTATGAGTTCAGAAGTGGATAAAAATATACTTTTAAACTGAATTTATTAAGATATGATTGCATGTTTCTAGGCATATGTGCCATAACAAACTCTATGTGTAAGGAATAGCAAACACAAAAGCGGGTCGATGCCAGCTTTATGGAGGTGTGATCGCATGCATGAGCGTGGATGACCTTTGAAGGGTTTGTTTGGTTTTTTTGTTCAGTAAAGTATGACATGGAGAGCAGCGTTCTTCGGCCCTTATAACTTACACTCCAGACGGGGGTCATTTGTCTTATGATAACTCTTGTGTAGTCAAATTTGTTGTTGCTTTGTTTGGTTTACTTTTTAACAGCAGAATCTTTTAAGTGAACGAGAATATAAATTGTGGGATCTTAGGTGAAGACTACAACAACAGAATTAAACTGAGTATAGTTAGATTCTATAAAACAAGATTCAAACTCTTATCCGCCCCACCCTACCCTCTCCCCTCATCTGATATGGTTTGGTGTTTCTTTAACATAGAAAATATTCATCATTATTGTTGTTCAGTATTGATTTCATTTTCTAATGGAGCCTCTAGATATCTGCATTTACATTAAATTTAGACAACAGTGGCATCTAATTTACACACACAATGGAAAGCAAATGTATAATATGTATACATACACACTCACACATAATAATTATTATTATATACACATAATAATTATAATTATATAAGAATAAGAATACTTTTAAAAAATCAAGTATCTCGGTCTTTCTGCTGGGGTGTTTTTTCCGTTTCAGCCTGGGTTGGCCTTGGCAGGTAGCGCCGGAGCCAGCCTTTTATGAATATTAATGATCTAAATTGTGTTGCTGGGGCATAAAAACACTTTCATTCAAATTTTTTTAAAAGGAAAAACTTACCTGTGAAAACTTCGGTCCACTGCAGCATCAAATCAGTTCTTACACTTAAATACAACACAGGTGCAAGGCATTTTTACTAATTGACTTGCCTAATCTCAAGGACCTCGGAATAAAACCTTCTTTCTTATCTAGATTTCATTGCGTGAGCGCAGCGCAGGTAGCCCACAGTTCCGCCGTGAGAGAGGGCTCCTATCAGGCGTGCGGTGCCGCCCACAGAGCATCCTCCATTACTTTTAATCTCCTTGATACAGACCCGGTAACCGAGAACAAAGTCACGAAGTATAGAGACCCGGTAGGGGAAATCTTTTGTGAATTCGGAAAGTTTCAGGGCCCTCTTGGCTCAGGGTAGACCAAGGTTCTTCTAGATCTATAAGTCTATGGCCTTGGTCTAGAATCCGTAAATCTTAATCTAGTTCTAGATCTAGTTTCGAGGCCTAAATCTAGATTCTAGATCTAGAATCTAGATCTAGATGAATGAAGATTGCAGATATCTTTTCGATGAACGATCGTTTTTACTTCATTTTGGAGTTGGAGGAATCACTAAAGACAGTTTGAAGAAAAGAACAATGTCATAATTTCAATCGTGCAGTCACCCTCTCTATTAGTATTTCTCTATAGGCCAGCTCTATTCGGACTCGAGTCCGAACGCTGACGACAATGACTACTTTTGTTTTTCTCTTTCAGCGGTTGCTTCCTCTGTTCTGGGGAAGCGGGTAAGGGGCAGTCACTGGAGAAAACAATTATATCCGAGCTTTGTTGATGATCCGTTCAAAACAAAAGTGGACAAATTTTTACTTTCACTCCCGCACACAAAAGCACTGCTTCAGGGGTCAAACTGCTGTACTGTTTGCTGCAGATCTCACATAAAGCCACTAAAACTGTCGCAAATCAATTATTTTCAGGAAAATTTCAAATTTAACTTCTGTAAAATATCAAATTATGCCCCCCTGTAACCCCCCAGATTTTCTTTTACCTCAGGGGGGCAGGCCCCCCTGGAAACCCCCAATTGGTCCAAAGCACGTCTATCTCGATTATGAACAATCAAATATTTCAAAAACTATTAATTTGCAACGGAAATGAAGTTGATATTCGTGTTCAGCGTATCAATATTTAGTAGAAAATGGACAACTGGTAGCTGAGTGTGAGACGGGAGTGAAAGTTAAAAAATACCCAAAAGTGGGCTAAAATTCAGACTTCCGGTCGAAAGTCTGTGCCTTTCCAATGCGGGACTTTATTTCAGCGCCTGTTCCTCCCTCTCTGTCAATTATACTCCCAAGATAGCAGAACGATTCGACGTTTTCTAGCGCATTTCCTTGTACTGTGACCTACTCCTTTCGTAGTGCGTCTATCCTTAGAACTTTCGACTTTCCGGGGTGGATCTTCAATCCAACATACTCTGATCTATAGGCTGTTTAAAGTCCAACTGTGTCCATGGGGTCCACTGTAGGCCATTTCTGTGTCCTCTGGTGGTTTCCCTCATCAGCCAGTCGATTGCCAAGATAAAGAGGAAGGTGATAGTAAACATCCCTGTCTCACACCAGTCTTGATGTCAAAGCTGTCAGTGAGCTGGCCATCATGTATAACCCTGTAATTTGTCCCTTCGTACATGCTCCCTGTGAGGTTAACCATTACCAACTTCTGTGAGGTTCCGTGATGTCTCAGTATCTTCCACCGTGTTGCTCGATCTATGCTGTCGAAGGCCTTCCAGAAAGTTGACGATCAAATGGGAGCTCCACTGAAAGAACTGTTCCACTATGATCTTCAGTGTAGCAGTCTGGTGCGTGGTTGACCGATTTTTTCGAAAACCAGCCTGTTCATTCCGAAGTCTTGGATCCGTTGCAGACTTGATTCTCTCCAGAATTATTCTGTTGAAGACCTTTCCTGGTATTGAGAGAAGAGTGATTCCTCGGTAGTTGTTGCAGTTTCTGAGATCCCCCTTTTTTAGGTAGTTTCACAGGGTGTCCTTCTTTCCAATCCTTTGGGAACTTGCTCTCATTCCAGATCCTTGGGAGAAGGGGGTCTTCCATCATATTGGCATCTGTTTTTAGGGCCTCAGGTGGAATCTGATCGGGACCGGCCGCTTTACCGTTGTTCAGCTTCTTAGTGGCATCCAGAATCTCATTTCCATGGGGCATCACAGCAGATTGGTAGCTCATTTCTTGCTGGCAGGATGTTTGGCGAGTTATTTGGTGGTGGTCTGTTCCGGAGACTTTTGAAATGCTCTACCCATCGTCTGGACTGAGTTTCCGTTCCAAAAATGTTTTTTCCCTCGTGGTCCTTTACTGTTACTTCTGGTTTCCCGTATTTTCCCGAAAGAGTCTTTGTAGTTAGTCTGGTAAAGGATTCGCATCCTCCTGCAGCTGCCTCCTCTGCCCTCACTGCAAGCCTGTTCATAAATTCCTCCTTGTCTTTTGTTAATGATCTCTTTACATCTTTAGCTGTTGTCCTGTACTGCTCCAATGTGTCCGCTTTTGATCCCCTTGTTCTACTTGCATTTGTCTCTGCTTTCAATTGTCTTCTAATGCTAATCAAATCCAATGACTGTTGGCTAATCCATTCCTTATGCTCCCATTTTTTCTCGCCGAGTATTTCTTGACATGTTGAAGTAAAGACTTCTTTGACCTTGGTCCGGTGCATCTCCACCTCCATGTCCTCCTCACCAAGATCCGCCAAGGGTTGAAATCTGTTCCTCAACTGCAGTTGAAACTTCTGTTTCTTGTGTTCATCTAAAAGTCTTACTTGGAACTTCCAGGTTTGGAGGTCCATCAAAACGATTGAATCTCATAGGTAGATGAGAAAACAGACAGGCCTGTCCTTTTGCAGGATTTCAAAGAAGAAAGAAGCTTTTTGTTGTCTTAAATGATAGTGGCAGTGATCTACGTGTGTGTTGATACTACTATGTTATTTGATAGCACTACCGTATGACTTGTTGCAGTGTACAAAAGGTGCAGCACTACCGTATGACTTCTTGCGATGTACAAAAGGTGCAGCACTACCGTATGACTTCTTGCGATGTACAAAAGGTGCAGCACTACCGTATGACTTCTTGCGATGTACAAAAGGTGCAGCACTACCGTATGACTTCTTGCGATGTACAAAAGGTGCAGCACTACCGTATGACTTGTTGCGATGTACAAAAGGTGCAGCACTACCGTATGACTTCTTGCAGTGTACAAAAGGCGCAGCACCATTCGAAAAATGCTGTTAATGAAAAGTGACAAAAGATGAAAACCTCAAACTATGCTTCTCCATTACACCCATTGCCGCTACCCATAAAGCAAAGGCCACAACTCTTGTGCTTACAAAAGCAAGAGATCCAAGTTTTCCCCTGTTCAGTCAACAGTCCCAACGTAACTCATTGTGACCCCTGCTGATTTCCTATTCTGGAAGATAAAAGTTTGCTGGATGAAAGTTGGAACACATTCAGGACCTGGCAAAAGCTGTCTATTTAGAGCTGTGAAGCAGAAGCTGGCTGCTGCTGTGCTTTCCAGAAGTGGTTAAGGGGGCTGGAATCCAGCATAGATAGTCGAGAATTTCAAAGGACTAAAAATATCAGGCCCTTAGCATTTATTAAAGTTTCTGAGATTTTTCACAACTTCCATTAATTTTTTATGCACTCTGGAAAGCTGAAGTCAGTGGTCAGAGCTCGAATAAGATGCTGTTATCCTGACTAAAATTGAATGTGATAGGTTGTATCAAATTTTGAGACTGAAATTACATTTTTCGTGCTGTTTCAAGTAGGCTTGGGGTTCCAACAGAAGTGGTGAAAATAAATGTTTCTTATTTTATTTATATAGGTTTTCTTTCCTTTTCTAATGCACTGTTCTTTTCTTTCTTTTCCAGCTGCTCTTCTTGTGGACAAGGCAATGGAGCTCAAGTACATTGGTGGTGTGTTTGGAGGAAACATTAAACCACTTCCTTTCTTATGCCTGCTGCTCAAAATGCTTCAGATACAACCTGAGAAAGACATAGTTGTGGAGTTTATAAAGAATGAAGACTTCAAGTAAGTTTTTTCTGTTATGTGCCTGTGGGGGGAGTCACAATTTAGCTGGCCCATGGGTTAAAGGAAAAAAGATACACTTCATTCTTTGAATGTTAAACTCTACTTTGTGCTGCTGCTGCTTGCATGAGCCTGCTCTCTGGTGAAAGCAATATCGTCACAAGACCTGTAATTTTGTTGTTGTTGAGAACTTGTGGCTGGCCCTAGTCTTTTTATTTGAAGGACAACCTAAACTTTGTGCAGGGTCATTCTTTTAGAAAAATTGTAAATAATGATGCAATTTTACCTTCGTGTTTGACGTGTTTTGTTTTTTTAAGTCAGCAGCTGATGGTTGGAGAAAATTGACATGTGGCTTTGATTTAAAGTATTATTAAAGCTATTTCCTTGAACGGATGTCTATATTATAGACTGTAGGTGAGTTAACAGTGTCACAGCTATGTATGTGTAGGATATATTTTTGTGAAGAAAACTTGTTATTGTCTTTGTTGTATTCTTATTTGATTTCTTTGATGATTCACAGGTATGTGAGAGCATTGGGGGCCACATATATGAGGCTGACTGGAACCTCCGTTGATTGTTACAAGTACCTGGAGCCTTTGTATTACGACTACAGAAAACTGAAAAGGATGGACAGAAATGGAGGTAGATAGTTGGCGGATGCTCTGATGTGGTTTGCTCCTTCTTTTCTATCAAACATCTATTGTTCCTTTCTCTCGTCCTTTTTTTTTAGGTGTGTTACTCAATAGTAACCCCTCTAATCTTTAGGACTTTTATGACCTAACTGGGGTGCAAGTTCCGTAAAACTGGTACTTAAAATAAACCAAAACTTGCATCTTGAATTTTCCTCCTCATTTACCATACACTTTTCATTATTTCTTGAAACCTCGAGCATGCTTTGTTTAATTTGATACTTACATTTTCACAATTTCAAGAAAGCTGTTTAGAAGTGACACCTAGCTCTGTCAAACTGAGCGTGAGGAAATAATTTTTGAGCTCTTGATCCCATGTAAAGAGGTTGACTGCATGGAAAATTTACAAAAAGTGATTGTTTTCAATCATCTGAAAGTATAATAACCAACACGCCAAAGCAAGGAGTCCTCTTTTTTTTTTTTTTTTTTTTTACACATTTCCGAATTGTGGTACTATTTTTACATCGACTTGAAACTTACAGAAGAGTATCCCACATTCATTGAGATATGGTCGTCTGCATTTTTCATTTTAGCAAATAACAGTCAAAATGAAATGATTTACGCAGAATATGTTTTTCACTTTTATCTCTTGTATTTTTTCTCCAGCGTTCCATGTCGTTCATATGGATGAGTACATAGATGAACTGCTGAGAGAAGAAAGAATATGTGACATCATCTTGCCAAGAGTACAGGTATTGTTCAAGTGATTGGACTCCTCAAGTTCTATTTTTATTTTTTTTATAATATAATTCAAGGTTCTCAGGATCAGTAGCTCAGAGAATGTAAGGGGCTCTCGTGGCCTAGAGGTTAAGGTGTTGGCCTCTCATTCAAAGGTCCCGGGTTCGAATCCGGGTAGCGACTGAAAAATTTTCTTCTCTGAAATTGTCTCCTTTCACCTCCTTTCCTGCTCTCTAGCAATGTTCTGTTGTCTGCTTTCATTTCCACTTTCTGCCCCCACCCCCTCACCTCCTTTGCCCCTTCCTCTGTGCTCCTGACTCTTTCTGCAGCCTTTCTACAGCTACTCCTTCGCTTCGTCTTACTGCTGTCTTTCTGCCACACCCCTGATCTTCTGGTAGGAAAGATCTACACCTAGCCTTCTTGGACAAGGGCAAAAAATCTCGGAGGGCCCGTGTGCAAGTTGCACACGTTAAAGATCCCTTGGTGGTCTAAAATCGATAAGAGTAGGCTTCGGCCGCCACCCAGGCAAAATTCAAAATTTCCTACCAGCTGAAAATATTAGGTGTGTCCCGCCCGCTCATATGACCTTATGCAGTTGCGAGCGCCGTAAAACACTTTGCAAACACAAACCAGAGAGTTCTGCAGAACTACAGGACATGGGATGACAGCTCAGCTATGCTCTTCCTGAGTTTTGGTTCAAGAGAGCTGTGATAGTTGTGCTCCCTTTCTGCTAGCTTATTGTAGTTCTGATTGTAATATTTCTTCACCTTTGTTAGTTTGGTCAAAGTTTTACAGCATTGACAACTGCATAAGATCAGATGAGCATGCAGGATACAAGTTGGTTGCTTTCACTGTAGTTCTCAGCTCAGCTTTGTTCAGTAGTCTCCGCCTAAATGCACGCCATACAAAAGCACACTCCGCTCAAATGCACGCCTTCGTCATCTGACGGGTTTTTTTACTATATAATTTAGACGTACAAACGCACGGTCACTCCCTCTAAACACACGCTCTGATCAGCGAAACACACGGACAGGTACAGCTTGACAAAGAGACAATGTCACTACAATCTGCACGGCTCGCATATGACAAGCCTAGAAAACCGAATATTTGGTGAGAATGTTCCACGCGTCGAACAAAGAGAGCGATGGACAGTGACAGTGTTTGCACACCCAACTTTCCACTGGCACATAGGTCTAGGAATGTCAGTGAAGAAATGTTGGGGGGGGGTTTGGAGGACTGAAATGTTTTTTGACTGGTCATTGGAAATGCGTCTTTGAGAGAAGGTTTCTGACTGGTGTTTGGGTGACTGCATGTAATGTTCGCACATGAATGCTGTAATACATTACAGATCGGCCTCGATAGGATTAAAGATTAGTCAAGTAAGCCAAACCAGGGGTGTTGCGAGCTGCGTAAAACCTGTACTAAAACAAAGAACTATAAAAAAACAAGCCTAATCAGCTGCGCCGCAAGAACTTATGAAGTACTCGTTCAACGAATCACAACTAGAGAAACGTTTCTCTAAATGTAGAGATCTATAATTCTGTCGTCCATGAATTTACGGTCGGGGGTGGTCGCTTGGAAAGAAACGTGGCTTGGCCGTCATCTCTATGACTATCACCAACTATTTCCTCTTAGGCTAACTGTTCCCGCCATTTTATGGTGCTTATCATTATATTGAGTCTGTCTTTTTGCCCCCACCCCATTCAACGCCTTTGTCGGGGAATCCTTCACAAAACAGTCACGTGTCTTCGCATTATGGACCCGAAGTGACCCCCCCCAAGGGAGGTCACTAAAATATCAAGGCAACGAGATGACTGCGTCCCTTCCTCCCTTTGCAAAGTTTCCTGTCAACGCACACTCCGTATAAACACACGCAAAGGAGCCCTCCCGAGCACCGTGCGTTTAGGCGGAGACTACTGTTTTATTTTATATGTCTTCATCGGAGTTCTCATTCCTGTCCTCATTTTTTGTCCTAACATTTACACAGTTTTCAGAACTCCTTTTTTCTTGTCCCTGTTGCCTTAATCTGTCTTATTTCTACGAGCAGATATGCTCAAAGCAGAAAAGTGAAATATCCTGGCATCACCACTAAACAATAAACTGAATCCAAGTGTATTTAGATATCTTTCCATCCCTAAGTGTTTTTCAAGAGAATTAAAAGTATATGACTATTAAGGTTGTGCAAGGTCCCGGGTTCGAATCCGGGTACCGACCGAACAATATTCTTCTCTAAAATTGTCTCCTTTCACCTCCTTTCCTGCTTTCTAGCAATGTTCTGTTGTCTGCTTTCATTTCCACTTTCTGCCCCCACCCCCCTCACCTCCTTTGCCCCCTCCTCTGGGCTCCTGGCTCTTTCTGCAGCCTTTCTACTGCTACTCCTTGGCTCCTCCTTACAGCTGTCTTTCTGTCACTCCCCTGATCTTCTGGTAGGAAAGATCTACACCTAGCCTTCTCGGACAAGGGCGAAAAATCTCGGAGGGCCCGTGTGCAAGTTGCACACGTTAAAGATCCCTTGGTGGTCTAAAATCGATAAGAGTAGGCTTCGGCCGCCACCTGCACAAAATTCAAAATTTCCTACCAACTGAAAATATTAGGTGTGTCCCGCCCGCCCGCGCACTCATATGACCTTATGCAGTTGCGAGCACCGTAAAACACTTATAAAAACAAACAATAAGGTTGTGCCAGAATAGACATTTGTTATGTGTACACTTTAATTCATTCCCGAAAAGAAGAAAAAACTGCTAGTGCCCAAAATTGTACGGAGCACAGTAAATGTCTTCCGCTGGTGCACCCAGTGGCCAGACACTTTTTATTGAGTTTTAAAGGTTTGGGGGGGGGGGGGGGGGTTATTGTTTGTTTTGCGTTTTTTTGGTTGGGGGGGGGTTTCAGTGATGTAAAAATTGTCTTGGTAATCTGAGAAGAAATGGGTTCATAGTTGCCAAGATAGCGTTTATCCCATTTGTTGTGATTTCAGCTGTAGACAAGCCAGTGGGTCAGACTTGAGCGCTCAAACCCTCTCAGCAGTTTACATTGAATAAAATCACTCTGGCCGGTATCTTTTTCTCACTAAAGTGAACTGGTATGACAAACAATAATGTTACTTTAATGCCTCATTCTTTTTTTTTACCCCCTTAAACCTTTTCTCCCAGACTTTGATTTGGTCAGTTATACAGTAGTCTCCGCCTAAGATCCCGGTGCTCGGGAGCTAGGATAATGCGGGATCTAAGTTGACGAATCCAGGGAAGAATCTACGTTGACCCATGTTAAGGCTCACAACCGGTAAAATGGGCTCCCTCCACTCTAAAATGAACTGACATGACCCCTGGATGGGTATATGACAAATAGTGAGCAAAGAGGAGTCACCTTGATGACCAATCATCGTGGCATGAGGCATGCCAATTAGACTTTTTATCCTAACGTAAGTCTCAGTCTCAAGATCTACGCTTATCCTATTGCCCCTCCTCTTTACCTTTCCAAAATGTATAGCTCTCGGTCTCTGACTGCGCTCACATGCCGTTGTCACAACGCGCTATTACGTTGTGACCACACCAATTAATATTCAGTTTGTCTCACAACTTCGGGAATAGAGAAAACTGCTACAATGGTCGGGGAAGAGTTCACGATTCGATGCGATCCCGTTGGAGCGAACTAGTAGGCCCTACCCACCCAGCGACGTGACGTAAGTTTAGGTGGAGAGCTCAGATGCGAGTGCGATGTGTGGGGAAATCAAAAGCATTGGTCAGTTCACGGTTCACACCTGTCTAGGCCAAACATTGTACAGTTCACACCTGTCTAGGCCAAACATTGTACAGTTCACACCTGTCTAGGCCAAACATTGTACTCTTTCGTCGAGCTTTACAACGCTTATGTGATCATATTCACGAGTTGCTGGTCTTTGACGCAATGGGTAGTTCATTGATCTCAACTTTTCACTCTTGGTTGATCGGCTGTGCCCATCAGGGTTTTTGTTCCGTGAATTGTTATCTGAAATGCGGGATCTTAGCCGAATGTAGATCTTCCGAGTGAATCAGAGCAGGATCTTAGGGGTGACTTTTGTATAGTAAAAATTATATTTTCTTAAAACAGCGGGATCTTAAGCGAACCGGTATCGTAAGCAGTGGGATCTTAGGCGGAGACTACTATATATATACACAGGCACAAATGCCTATTATATCCACACCTATATGGTACCGTAATTCCTAGTAGTTTGAGATTCTTTTGTGTTGGTTGTGCTGACGTCTCACTCATGCTTTTGTTCCCAGAAACGTTACGTGCTTGAGGAGACGAATGTTCTGGAGCCTCGGGTGAGTGCTGTGGAGGAAGACATTGAAGAAGGCGAGTCAGAGGAGGAAGAAGAGATTGTCAAGGTGGGTTCTTTCTCAAATTACATTTGTGAATGTGTTGAATATAGGTGAGGCAGAAGCATGGTGTAGGAAATATTGTGTGGGTGGCCAAAGTTTGGGAGTTGAAGAAACATGGAAATCTCCAGGTTTTTATTTTTGTTGTTTAACAGTTTGTGTCTCTCATTTGTGACGTGATGGTAGCTTTTCACTTGGCTCACAGTTTGCAACTTCATGAATTTGTGGCGTCATTGGACGTCATTTTTGTTAATACCAATTGTAATACAACACGATATTTTTATTTCAAAATTCATGGACATGATTTTTGACTCCTTGGTCTATTTGCATTCTCTGTGTTATAGTTAGTAAATGCACTCATAGACCCTTGCTAAGTAGCAGTCTGGGTATCTGGCAATGGCTTGGTATTTTTCATGTTTGTACTTTTGGCCATAAATTTTAATTTCTTCCATTTGGCTTTCAGTTTGTTTCAAGCTAAATGTATTTGTCCTTTGTCTAGGAGGTGAAAAAAGCTCCATCACCTGAGCGCAAGGTCCACAAAGAGAAGCCACGAAGGTCACCATCACCACACAGACGGAGAAGCAGTCCTAACAGAAGAAGGTGATTTTTTCAAAGTTTTTTTCTCTCTTTTGTTTGTGTTTCAAACAGTTTTTGTGTTACAGTGTCCAAGGCAAAGTACAGACCACGCAGCGAGTCATCCTAGTTGTAGGCATTGTTTGATGCTAGAGTTCCATAGGAAAAAGAGGTTGACAGTAAGGCCTTGGAATTTCCATAAAAGTTCCCACGCCCTTGGAAAAACCAGGGTCTCACAAAGCTTGATAAATTTGTCCCTAAAAATATTTTTGTTCTCCAAATATGAAAATAGTCTTATGAAGAAAAGTTAATTTACCTGTTGTGGGGGATTTTGTAGTATTGATGGCAAAGATCAAATGAATGTCTTCTGTCTCAGCAAATGTCTGGACAAGTAGGATTTTGATTGGTGAACTAGGAATTTGAAAATGCTTACTCGTTCACCTTCTGATTGACCGGTTGACTAAAATAGTTTTACTGTGCCAATGAAAGAAATAGCATTAGCTATGGAAACTGAATCTCCAAAAGCCTTATTCTTTGGTGTCCTTTATTATGGTAGAGAGTAGCGTTGTTCATTCAGGTGGTCTTGGTAAAGCAGGTAGCATGCAGTTTGAAGGTCTTGGCTTTGAGTTCTGACCATTGAAGGCATGACATTGTGTGCTCAACAAAACATCTGCCCCCTTTTCCCTGCAGTCCTTCCTGTTGTAAATATGTAAACCTGGCAGTCAGCAACAGTGTAATGTTTTATTGTAGTGGTATGCTTCTAGCAGTATCGCGCAGTGTCTGTCTTCAAATAGAATTTCTGGCTGGCAAAGAGTTCCTATATTGTGAAGTTGTGTGAGTCTTGTATCAGTATGGAAACAGTGCAATAAAATCTCATAAATTCCGTTTAGTAATTAATAATAATAATATAGATCATTTCTATAGCGCCCGTGTGAACACAGCTCTAGGTGCTTTACATAAATGTATGTACGAACAATACATATATTTACACTCACACACACACACACACTCACGCTCACATGTGCGCACACATGCACGCCAAACACACGCGCACGCACACACACAAACCCATACACACACACGCATTTATTTGCTTATCTCATGGGCATGCTTACACATTGTTATGAAATGAGATTTGTTTTGTTGTCGTTTTTTTTCTGCACAATGAAATAACATTTTCTTTGTTTGTTGTTTTTATCAGAGATTCTCATCGTCATCACAGTCCTAGCAAACGAAGGTCACGGTCAAGGGACAGAGCCGATAAAAGACACAGATCACCTGGTTCGTACTTTGACTATTTCCTGGTGGGAGGAGCAGTCTATAAAATAAGAGAGGCTGTGGTTGAATATGTATGGTTTTCTTTTGTGAAAATGATTTCTTTTTTGTCTCTGTCTCAGTTGTTGAAAACTAATTTTTGGTGCCTCAGCTTTGGGAGCTTTCATATTTTGGCCCGACTCAAAATGGCTACTTGTTATTTCTGGGTAGTGGGCATATGTCCGATTTGTCAGCACGATTTTTAAAAATGCAGGCCCATGTTTGCCAGCAGGAGACTGGAGATTTCCAGTTGTTATTTTCTTATTCACAGAACGTCGGTACAAAGAGGATGATCGGCACAAACATAGCAGCAAGAAGAGCAGGCACGACCGAGACGACGACCGCCATCGTGACCGGCACAGTGAGCGAGACCGTCACCATAGAGACAAGGGAGACAAGGAGCATCGTCGTCATAGAGATGAGAAGAAAGGGCGTGGTCGGGAGGAGAAAAGTTCCAAGAGCTCTAGCACAACGGACCAGGAGATCAAAGAGGCTAATGAGATGCGGGCTAGGCTAGGTCTTCCCCCTCTGAAACCTTAGAGCTTTCTGTAGACTGATAGACTAATATTGGTGGAGTTGGTTTTGTTTTGTTTGTTTGTTGTTGTTTTTTTTAGAGGGGGGGGGATATAACTGTTTTATGGAAATTCTCCGCCATGTTCATATCGTGGAGTTTTGTTTACATGAGAACTGTTGGCCTGTTCTAAGTCTTTGGTGTACTTTCGTACTGATTTTTGAGAGCGATAAGTGTTCGGATCCCAGACAGTATCTTGACTTTTTCTTGGGGTTAGAACTTGGTACTACTCATTTCTGGCATGTTCATTTGGAATTGATTGATGTCCTGTTTGACTCCCAAGTGTTTTACTCCCTAGCTCGGAAGTATGGGGGTGTGGCGGCCGAATGTCAGTTTTTACTTATGTACATAGTTTGTAATGTTTATTAAATGCATTGAAAGCTATGTTTTGTTTTCCTTTTTGTTTTTCCTATTATTTAAGTCATCTGCAATAACGACCATGGACAGCGAGTTATTTTATAATGTCAAAGGGAGAGAAGTGAAGGTGAACGGTACAGACAAGAGATGGGGGAAAGATTTCCTACTATCAAAGGGAGAGAAGTGAAGGTGAACGGTACAGACAAGAGATTGGGGAAAGATTTCCTACTATCAAAGGGAGAGAAGTGAAGGTGAACAGTACAGACAAGAGATGGGGGAAAGATTTCCTACTATCAAAGGGAGAGAAGTGAAGGTGAACGGTACAGACAAGAGATGGGGGAAAGATTTTCTACTATCAAAGGGAGAGAAGTGAAGGTGAACGGTACAGACAAGAGATGGGGGAAAGATTTCCTACTATCAAAGGGAGAGAAGTGAAGGTGAACGGTACAGACAAGAGATGGGGGAAAGATTTCCTACTATCAAAGGGAGAGAAGTGAAGGTGAACGGTACAGACAAGAGATGGGGGAAAGATTTCCTACTATCAAAGGGAGAGAAGTGAAGGTGAACGGTACAGACAAGAGATGGGGGAAAGATTTCCTACTATCAAAGGGAGAGAAGTGAAGGTGAACGGTACAGACAAGAGATGGGGGAAAGATTTCCTACTATCAAAGGGAGAGAAGTGAAGGTGAACGGTACAGACAAGAGATGGGGGAAAGCAGCAGGGAAAAGGATCGATAATTTTGATGTTATAGTCAACCTTTTTCAACTCTTGTAGGTTCTTGCACCTGGTCGGGTATAATGGAACTGCTGCCTCGCCAAGATTGAAAATTAATCCCAATCTTTTGAGGACGAATTATGTGTCTGAAAGACGGGATGTGGTTGCCTATGATTCCAGAGACACGATGCTCTGCATGAAAGTAGACTTGTTTTTTTGTAAAGTGTTACGGCGCTCGCAACTGCATAAGGAAGCAGACTTGTCCAAAGAATTGGTGGTTTGGGCGAGGAAAAAATCTACACCAGCATTATCCCAGAATGCTAGAAATCTGGGAGAGTTGATAGAGAATGCAAAAGAAATTTTACTCTGAAGAAATTGTTGGTTAAGAGCTGGAAAGACATTTCTTCCAGTTTTTAAATCATCATTCATCCTTATCACAAAATGTAATCAGACATTGTAGGTCCACATCAAGAGCGTGTTTTAAATGTCTTTATCTTATCAGGGAACACAGAATACCCTGCCATAAGAACTCTTTTGGTTGACTAGACAGAGCACGCATGTAGAATGCACAAATATGGTTGCCTAACATTTTTAGAATGTCAAACCATTTTCTTCCTTGTCCAAAAGTCTGTCAACTCAAGCAGGCGAGATGCTCTCATTTGTAGCGACACTACATGTACTCATGAGGGTTTTTCCTCTAGGACAGATTTTCCTTCCTCGTAGGTTTGAGTTTGACGAGCACAGGGACAAAAATACGGTAGTTTCTCTGAAAAGTGATTTGGTAGGGCTGTTTTGTTTTTGTTTGTTGTCATCTCCGAAGTCTGATACACTCACTCACCAGGCCATGTCTGATACACTCACTCACCACATGCCTGATACACTCACTCACCAGGCCATGCCTGATACACTCACTCACCAGGCCATGTCTGATACACTCACTCACCAGGCCATGTCTGATACACTCACTCACCAGGCCATGCCTGATACACTCACTCACCAGGCCATGCCTGATACACTCACTCACCAGGCCATGCCTGATACACTCACTCACCAGGCCATGCCTGATACACTCACTCACCAGGCCATGCCTGATACACTCACTCACCAGGCCATGTCTGATACACTCACTCACCAGGCCATGCCTGATACACTCACTCACCAGGCCATGCCTGATACACTCACTCACCAGGCCATGCCTGATACACTCACTCACCAGGCCATGTCTGATACACTCACTCACCAGGCCATGTCTGATACACTCACTCACCAGGCCATGTCTGATGAGGGCAACAGTACTAAGTGCAGGCCATCTGGTGAGGCTGTGTGGTTGCCTGCTCTCCCAAGTGGTATTTTGATTCACTTCCCATAGTGAGTGACTGGCTCTCTCTGCCATGACTTGATTTCTCTTTACTGTGAAAAGATGACAGGAATGTCTCTTTTTTGTTTGTTTAGTATAGGGTTTTACGGCGCTCGCAACTGCATAAGGTCATATGAGCGCGCGGGACACACCTAATACTTTTTCGTTGGTAGGAAAGTTTGAATTTTGCCCGGGTGGCGGCCGAAGCCTACTCTTATCGATTTTAAACCACCAAGGGATCTTTAACGTGCGCAACTTGCACACAGGCCCTCCGAGATTTTTCGCCCTTGTCCGAGAAGGCTAGGAATGTCTCTACAGTAGTAGTAGTATAGTGTAAAGCGCATAGAGCCTGCTGTTGAGCGGGGATATGCGGTATACAAATGCTATTTATTTGTAGTTGTAGTAGTAAGAGTGCAACTGAAAAAAGTTCAATAGTTCCCAAATTTGAAATAACCCATTGATCTTGGTTTCTGCAGGGGAGATAAAAGCTATTTGAAAGAATAAATAACATTTTAAAAAGAATAAAGTGCTCCATGTAGTCTACTTGGAAGCTGATAATCATGCACGTACAGATGAGTTGAAATTGTCCAAGACGGTCGCGCATTGTCAAGGAGAAACAGTAGTTGTCTCATCGTATAAAAGTCAAACATGGTAAGTGGTCGTTTGTACATGTGCTTGTCTTGCTGGACAGTGGTCGTTTGTACATGTGCTTGTGTTGCTGGACCGTGGTCGTTTGTACATGTGCTTGTCTTGCTGGACAGTGGTCGTTTGTACATGTGCTTGTGTTGCTGGACAGTGGTCGTTTGTACATGTGCTTGTCTTGCTGGACAGTGGTCGTTTGTACATGTGCTTGTCTTGCTGGACAGTGGTCGTTAGAGCAAGTTCGACTGTATGCAAGTGGATGTCACATGCTCTACTTCTACTAGATCGACTCTATTTTGAGTTTAGTACACTACTATTGTATGGATTTTACTTGCCTTGTCACTCTGTTAGCTTTTTCAATTGATTAAGAACCAAGGTTTCTGATTTTACGTCCATCACCGACAGCGATAAGCCAAAAAGGTACCGTAGAGTTTTGTCAACTCTTCACAAAGCGACCCAAGTTCAAGAGCTAGCTCATGTTCGAACCTGGGATATTAAATATCGTAATTCAACATGATACCAACTGAGTCTAAACTAGATGATGGAAAAGTCACCAGTAGGCCTTCTCCCGTCCTATATCTGTGTTACTATGCTGCTACAGTTGTGTGTGTGTGTGTGTGTGTGTGTGTGTGTGTGTGTGTGTGTGTGTTCCCCCCTCGGCCTCTGTATCTCCGATGGGGGGTTGGCAAACTGTGCAACATACAATTGAGAATCCGTGTTCAATCGAATGTTTCTCATTTTTCGCTCGCAGGTAGTTGCAGGACGCACTGGTTGATCCTACTACTTAGCTTTCCCTCTGTTGTTTCTGTCTGTCGTGTCTGACTTTTTCCCGGCACTAAATGGCCATTATTGTGTCGATGTGCTTCTCTGTACTCAAACTAATAAGTCATTCTTCCCGGTTGTTGGTTTTGGGTTCATTTGTTCATAGTTTTCATTATATGTATCCTTTTTCTTTTTAATTGAAGGGTTCGTTGGTTTTCATTTTCAATAGGTGGTTGATGGGTGCTCTGGTGTGGTTTGCTTCTTCTTTCCTATCAAACATCTATCGTCCTTATCTCTCCTCCTTCGTTTTTATGTTTTATGTTACTCTCTTGTAACACCTCTAATCTTCGG